AGGTCAAATTCAGCCTCAGTGGAAAATCAATTTAACACAGTTTCGTGGTGAGAGGCACGTACAAACAGACTTTGCTGATCAGAACACAGAGGCTTAGTCTGACTATATATATATATGTGTGTGTGTGTGTATGTATGTATGTATACACACCCTCAGGCAAGATAAAGTAGAAGAAGCATATAAAAACCATCCTAAATTGGGAAAGACTTCTGGGAAAGTTCCTTTGGCAGGAACCTAAGAACAAACGTTCCTGCAATACAAAACCAATGAAATGTCTGTTGACGCATAGCTTCCAGAAACTCGAATGAGTATTGGAAGGAAAATCTGTACATCAATCACAATGTTAGCAACTGGCTAACAAAACTGCCTTTGTTTTGCTTTAAGGGAAACCTTGTAGACTTTCTGAAGCTAACAGGATGGCGAGGATCCAAGGTTTTTTATTTTGGAGATCATCTCTACAGTGACTTGGCGGTGAGTTTGTTTGAATACATTGTGCACATTTGTTTTCCTTTTGTTTTTACTGCTTCAGGGTGTTTGGTGTGTCCAACACAGATTTATGTTGATTTTAACGCGGATTTTATAGTCATTAGTTTCCAGGATCAAACAGTGACTGATTGTAATAAGGTTCTTGAAGTGGACTCTGAAAAATAAGCATCCTGTCCTGGCATTTTAGGACCTGATGCTGCGTCATGGGTGGAGGACAGGAGCGATCGTGCCTGAACTTGAGGTGGAGACGAAGGTGGTGAACACAGAGCAGTATGCTCAAAGTCTCACGTGGTTGCAGGCACTCACCGGACTGCTGGAGCGCATGCAGGTTAGCAGTATGGCTCTGAACTTAAGCATAGAAAATATTCATTGTTGATAAATGTATACGAACTTTTGTAAACTTTAAAAAAAAATTATTCTGTATGCAGAATTTAATGAGAGCAAAATAGACAGCTTTGCGTTACTTGTGCTTGTATTCCTCATATGGTTGCAAAGGACTGGCCTGGTTGGTTTGGCAGAGGTCCATTCGCTTAATATTGATCTGGATTTATTGTTCAGATTATTCGTAGCCAGATTCTCTATGTAAGAAAAGCTTGGTGTGATCGGTTACATAGTCCAAAATGCATTTGACCTCATATTCTGTCAAGGTTTGCGTGATGATTGTTTTAAATTGTGCTTCTCAAATTAGAACCACTGAAAATAGGCATAAAATGTTTTGCTTGTGAATGAAATAGTATGTAATATGTAACATTTAAACAGACAATGCTACTTTAACATCCAAGTCTATGTCCTTAAGCAATACTTTTCCTGTGTTTGTGTAGCAGAGGTCATATGAGTTATTTATGCAATATCTAATATAATACATGAGAATAGTCTTGAAAAATCAGCATCTTCTCCATTTGGAATTTATTATTATTTTTTTTTTTATTATCTGTACAGTTAATAATATATATATATTTTAAATATGAAACCAATATTTCAATTTGAGCCTAGATATTACTTTATTTCATTCTTGGTACAAATGACTTTAAAATATTAAAACATAACATGCTAGTGTGATCAGACTTTTCTGTTTTTGTGTACATGAATATGATTTGTTTTAGTCTGGAGCCTCCAGATTATTGTTTGTGTGAATACATTTATTTGATCAAGGAATAGGACATATCACATACAGGAATAGGAATATTTTTTTTAAATGTAATTTTCTTCCTGTAATGGCAAAGCTGAATGTTTCAGAAATATATTATAGAAATATATAGTTGTTTTTAATTATATATATATAGTGGAAACTGAGATGGATTGTTTCAGGATTCTTTGATGAATAGAAAGTAAAAAATAAACAGCATTTTTTTTTCTTTATTTTTTGTAACATTAGAAATGTCTTCTGATATTTTTGATCAATTTAATACATCCTTGCTAAATTAAAATAATAATTTCTTATAAAGAAAATCTTACTGACCACCAAACTTTTGAATGGTAGAGTACGTTATTTATTTGTTTGTTTACATAACTATACAATGAAAGTCTATGCTCTCTTTTGTATAACCTTAAAGTCTCAATTGTAAAAGTTTTCCCTGTTCATTTGGAGAGAATTTTTTTTTTTTTTTTTTTTTTTTTTTTTGACAATTGACAACATAATTTTTTTTTTAATTATTCTTTTTTAGATGTATCGGGATCCTGAGTCAAAGAAGGTTCTGGAGGAGTGGCTGAAAGAGAGAGAGGAGCTACGGTGAGTAAAGCAAGACAGAAATAATATGCATTTATCAGAAAATAAATTCATTAACTTATTAATTATAGCCTTTGTAAATTGTCTTCATGTTTTTATCTATTATAGGGCAGTCACCAAGAACCTCTTCAACCCTCACTTTGGCAGCATATTCCGTACCTGCCACAACCCCACTTACTTTTCCCGTCGCCTGTGTCGTTTCTCAGACCTCTACATGGCCTCGCTCAGCTGCCTACTGAACTACGACCTCTCTTACACCTTTTACCCACGCCGAACGCCCCTGCAGCACGAAGCCCCACTCTGGATGGACCAGCTCTGCACTGGCTGCATGAAGACGCCCTTCTTGGAGGAGATGGCCCATATTCGTTAAAACCACCAAAGGTTTACTGTGCAAATATGAACTGAGTGGAATTAAGGGTGTGTTTTTCTCTATGGCATTAGAGACGTGGCACTTTTACGCAAAAGTCACATGCAACAGGGCCATCTGCTGGATGTTAGGTTACAATGCATCTCAATGTTCTCAAGCCTTGGACATTAAAAGACAAAGGCTTGTTGATTCATTTCTCCTTATGTTCTTACCTCCTAACTTTTTTTGCATTTGATGCAATTGCATTGCATATTACTAAACATAGTTAAATGTTAAGTGGTTTACAGTTCTCAGTTTTTTGTATATTAATCCTCTGTCTTGAGTTTGTGTAGTTGCAACAGAGTGATGTTTGTATTAACATGAATTATTACAGGAAGGATGAAATATGCTATACTTGTGGTACCCAGATTTTTTTTTTTTTTTTTTTTTCTGGTTGGCCAAAGTATTGAGCCGCTGGCCGAAAATGCACAATATGAGTTACAAATACACAGTAGGTCTGATTACATGTATGATTAGGTCAAATAGTCTTTTATTTGGTATTGTAATGTTACTAACCTTCTCCTCACTACAGTAATAATATAGCATAGAATCAAAGTTTAAACATGCACAAATAATAACAGCCTCCATAGCTTTTTATTGCTAGATACATTTTTTTTAATTGACAGCTGTATATGGAAGCTCCTGGAGGGCTAAACCAAATAGACTTTTTTTTTTTTTGACCTTGCAGGCCTTTATTCTTTATGACTTTGGACTAAGCTTATGTACAATCAGAACATTGTTTGCTGACATTTAAATCTTTTAATAGCTATGCTGCTAAATTCCGTTTTCTAGGAACATGAAATATGTCATCTTTTTGTATGTACTTTCTCTACAAGTTATACAATTAAATAAAAGGCTTTGTATTAATGTTTTAATATCACTCATTTTTATATCTTTCAGGGATGAAACATGTAACCCCACAATTACAAATCTTTTAAGTCTCATAATGCCTACCGAGTTGGTGCTTATTTGATGAAAAACACAATAAAAACATTAATATTGTGAAACTCTTTTTTTATGTTAAAATGTAATTTATTCTTGAAGGGGTGGATTTACAATCTTTATTCATGTATTATATAATGAATTGGATGAGTTTTAAAACCGTTGTATCTATTTCGGTGTTATCTGTTGCAGGTAATGTCTGTTTTTGTTATCTGAGAGGTGACGAAGTGTCTGACCTCAGGAATGTAGTAACAGTGTTTACTCTTTTAGCCCGGCTTCCAGAGAATAAATATGTATTTGTTTTGTACTTAATTAATTTGCTCATATAACCAAATGAACCAAGAATCATATTTTGTAGAAAGAGAATTGTCTGTATGATTTTTATTCTTGTGATAGCTCAGTTGAATGAAACCTGTAACCTATGATTATCTATATCATATGACTAAGACTTAGGTTCTAGTGTTTATTAACTCTATTAAGTTCACGCCTGGATCCTCTTATGCATTTTTCTCCAGCCTATGCTGGGGAAGTGTAGAGAACTGTGTCCTCAGTAAACTCGTATCTTTTATAGCACATTGGTCTCTTTACGTGGCTTATTGCAGAGGTGGACAGTAGCAAAGTACATTTACTTGAGTACTGTAGTGCACTTTTTGAGTATCTGTACTTTACTTTTTTCTGGAAACTTTTTACTTTAACTTAACTACATTTGAAAGACAAATATTGTACGTTTTACTCCACTACATCTCAATGTAACGTTATAAATGCAGCATTGGCGAGCATTTCAAAAACAGCAAAACATCTTAATGATTTCAAACTTTAGATCTGAATTAGGGATCATCGTCGAGCATCGAAATAGCTTCTCCGTGATAGAATAACGTTAGTTTAAAATATAAACAACGTTATAAACATACAAAGGTATGTGATAGTTTGGTCTAAATCTGGCCGCCTAGCACAGCTGCCAAGTAGCTCGCCGTGATCGTATAGTGGTTAGTACTCTGCGTTGTGGCCGCAGCAACCCCGGTTCGAATCCGGGTCACGGCAAAAGTACTAGGCGGCAGTGCGCATGTTTTGTTCTGTGGAAACTTCTATAATGATAAAATGTATACTCAAACATATCTGTGAATTTACATTTTCTTTTATTACATATAGTTGACTGCTATGTTAATAGCTTTAAAATATTTGTCATCGTTGAATTTAGAAACTATTTGAAAACGATAGCTTTAAATATTGTCCTTTTTTATATCGGCAAAACGATCTGTCCAAACATAAATCTTTAGGGGTTTTCTGTTTTTGCACATGGATCATTCCTTCCCTCATGAATCCAATGATGTAATGCAATGTGGCGTCATATCCTGTTATTTAAAACTAGTCCGTTGTCACGGAGACAATCTTCGCTATTAAATTTGCAAACATAATGTCCTCTTATGTCACTAAGTGTACGAATTGATCTAAGTGGACAAAGTACTGATTCCCCTTTGTAAACATATATTAAACTACATTTACACTTTTTTCGTCTTGTAGCGGGCTTTTATTTTGAAACTTGTCAGCAAGAGACTGGTTGTTTGACGTCTCTTGTTAACGGAATTTTCAGTGTACTTGTCGAAGCTGTAAGAGAAAACGGCTACCTCCATCCATTGTTATTTTACTTTAATTTTTTAACCTGGATGACGATAACGCATCTCTGAACGGGATACCCCAAAGCGGACTACCCACCATGTCGGCTGAGGAGGAGAGGGGGGTAGTTCGTGTCAAAGTCAAGGTGAGAAATTGTAGCGGCAGGTAGAAACCCCAATTACACACACACACACACACACACACACACACACACACGCACGCACGCACGCAGTCAGCAAGACAGCGGGATGGAAACACAACAACACACAGCATTCCACGTAACGTCCAGCCAGGCCAGAAGACAGACAGTGTCTGATTGCATGTCTGCGTCTGTCTTATCAGCCCTATCTTCATGTCCATCGCTTTTACTTGGCTGTCATCTTAGTTGTTTACACATCGTGACTGCTTCATTCATAATCATTCGTTTGCAGTACATAAGAAGTGCATTCGCATAGAAGATGTTTAATAAACATGTTGTTTTAGTCCATATACTAATATTTTTTTTTTTAGAAATATATTTATCATACAATTTTTGCAATAGTCATGTTTTGTTGTTCGTGTCACGTAATTGTTCAACAAATACATATAAATCATATACAATTTAGTCGTTGTCACAGTCATACAATGCTACAGTCATAATGAGTGTCACATGATCAACCTGCCATGTAATTCTCTCGCTTGTTTTTCAGTAATTTCTTAGGTACAGTCTGTTTTAATGAATACGAAAAGAAATCTATGCAGATGCAGGCCTTAGAGAACCTCCATAAATGATTTAGTGGAACTTAACAGAGGGGTTTTGCAGGCCTGTTTCTTTAAGAAGTCTCTTTGGACATAAGAATTTAGGTCAGTGAATTTAATTTTAATCACAGTAAACTTGTAGTTAATCAAAGAGCTACACTGCCATGTTACTGATTTTTCAGACACAATTAAAGTCTATTGTATACTTTTCTTTCAACCCTGTCACACACAAATTGTAAACACACAACTCAAAATTTCAATACAATTTAATTTATTCTATGAGATTTGTGTGTACTGTTCTGTGATTGTCCCAGTACTCTGAGATGACAACCTAAGTTACAAAGTTTTGAATAGTAAATTAGTTTATGTTTTGTGTGAACCTTGACAGATGCTGCAGCGTGTTTTGCTTGGGACAGATGACCTTGTAGTGCTGCGCGCGAGTTGTTTTAGCACATGTGTAAATTTCAAAGTAATCTATACAACCAGAGTCAGTTTCCCACAGTTGGTTTCAACATTAACAGAGACTCCACCTGTGTAAATAAGGTCACCTGATTAGATGATTTGCATTTCAGAGGATAGAGTTATTAGCCTTTCAGGATCTCAAAATTAAAATAAATAACAAATATGTAAAAAAAAAAATGTAACACATTTTCTTTGTCTTTGTAAAATCATACTTCTACTCCACACTTTCTGTTTTCTGCCTGTTTTCAGAAGTATGATGGGGTGTTACCGGTGGAGTTCCGCTCTTTTGCAGTAGATCCTCAAATAACCTCATTAGAGGTGTTGCAACATATCCTGATACGAGCCTTTGAGCTGAATGGGTGAGTGTGAAATAACAAAATCTATTTCTTTATGTGATAATTCTGATTTAGATCTATTGAATTATTTTATGCTTATTTAATAGCATTGATGGATACATTAATTGCAGCAAACATAGATGGAGTCTTATTTTCTTTGGTTTCCTGCAGGAAACGTAACTTTGGGATTAGCTACCTGTCCCATGACCGCGGGGGTGTGGAGGTCTACGTGTCTCTGCTGTCTGACTGGGATTTAGATGCCGCGTTTGTCAGTGCGGCAAAGCCTTTCCTCCAGCTAAAGATGGACATCAAACCATCAGAAGACAGTGAGTGAACCTTCCTGTTTGGAGGGTATTAAATGTCTGTCCATCTCAGTAGATCCTGAAAATCTGTGACTGCTCTATCTTCCTTTATGAGATCTCCGAATTAACTTATAATCATTATCCACAAATCAATCAATAAAGAAAAACTATTGATAAATTATTTTACTTCTATTCAAATGATTATACTGAAGCTATGTATTGTTGAGTGGATTTCCTGAAACAAAAATATATCAAGTGATTGAATTCAAGTGATTGTTCTGTAATTGAGTGTATTTTCTTGAGAAAATTTTTATATTTTCAGTACATTATTTTATAGAGTCTACATTGTGTCTTTAATTGACACGGGAATTATTTGACAAACATTCTGCATTGATATTTAAATAAGACTAATCCAGTTTTAAATGTTGTTTTTTATGTTTTGTTTTCTTAAATTCTTCCTAAGGTCCTGTTTTGGAGGATTGGGACATAATAAGCCCTAAGGATGTGATTGGCTCAGATCAGTTGCAGGGAGAGAAGAAGTCATTGACATCTGCTGCACTTCCCTTCACACAGTCTCTGCTGTCCCAGGTTACTCATGATGTTCTTGACCCTATCTTTTAGTGTCCACTGCGTTCAGTCAGGTTCACAGCCTGCTGCATTTATACTGTAATTCATGGCAATTCACCCCAAACAATGGAAGGCATTAGATATTTCAGGAGTTCTTGAAGGCGAAAGCTTTTTGCTCTTGTAAGAAACAGCTTTGTGCTGATTTATTTAATACATTAAAGACAGAGGGAACATTTTACAAGAGTTCCTCGCTGCACTCTGTAGCACGATGACGTAGCTGGATGGTCCAATACGTATTGGATGGAGGTGTGTTTCGGTGACGTCATATATGCATGCGCAGTGCCGTTCTCTGGATTATAATTCGCATGCATTGGTCTTAAGTGATATGTAAGCTCAATATTGTACTGCAAAGATGTTCAAACCTGTGTAGTATAGTACTGTTAAATAATTACAAGTAATTATTGATGAATAAGTAATTATTTACATAAATGGGATACTTATCCGAGATTCACTCTACATAGGCTACATGCAAAGTTATTGTACATTTTAAATTACATGATTTTAAACCTACATTTGATAGATTTATAGCATGTGCACCGCAAGTATTTTTTTAATGTGTTTATATAGAACATTTTAAAATAAAGCAATTTTATTTTATTCATATTTGCTGTTGATTGGAAGCGAAAAATGTCAAAGTAGTCTAATTTGTCTCTGTTATTTTAAAGGTACAACTGTAAACATCTTAAAATACCAGTACCCTAAACATTCAAAGGAAAATGCTAAAATAATAACAGCATCAGGAAAATAAATCTTGTCAGATGTAGAAAAAAAAAATGAACTTAAAACCTACATAAGGTTCCTCTTAATTTGCTGTTCACATGTCTGGAAACTTGTTTTCGCCAGAGTGAGAAATAAAAAAGGTAGGCCTAATTGCGAATTTTTATCTCACTATAGTCAGACTTTTTATCTCAGAATTTATATAAAGTCGCAATTGCTGGTTATAAAGTCAGACTTTCGTGATATAAAGCCGCAAATGCGTGTTATCAAGTCAGATTTGCGTGATATAAAGTCGCAATTGCGTATTATTAAGTCTGAATTAGGAGATATAAACTAGCAATTGGGAGGCTACTTAAAATTCCGACTTTATAATACTCAAATTGGGAGATATAAAGTCGCAATTGTGTGTTATAAAGTCAGAACTATTCTGAGGTTAAAAATAGCCAGATTTTTTCCCTTAGGATTTGACTTAATAAGATCGCAATGGGAGATATAAATTCGCAATTATGTTATACATTCAGAATTGCGTGAAAAAAAGTCAGAATTCTGACTTTATAGCACACAATTGCGACTTTATTTCACCCAATTCTGTCTTTATAACATGCGATTGAGGCTTTATTTCACGCAATTCTGACTTTATATCTCACAATTCTGAGAAATAAAGTCAGTACGCGAAATGTATACTCGCAATTGTAATGTAAAAGTCACAATTATTTAAAAAAAAAAAGTTTTATTCTGAAAGCTCTGAAAAGAGCTTCCATACTTGTGACCATTTACAACCCGAATTCCAGAAAAGTTGGGACGTTTTTTAAATTTGAATAAAATTAAAACTATACGACTTTCAAATCACATGAGCCAATATTTTATTCACAATAGAACATAGATAACATAACAAATGTTTAAACGGAGAAATTGTACACTTTTATCCACTAAATGAGCTCATTTCAAATTTGATGCCTGCTACATGTCTCAAAATAGTTGGGACGGGGACACGTTTACCATGGTGCAACATCTCCTCTTCTTTTCAAAACAGTATGAAGACGTCTGGGCATCGAGTTTATGAGTGTCTGGAGTTTTGGTGTTGGAATTTGGTCCCATTCTTGCCTTATATAGGTTTCCAGCTGCTGAAGTGTTCGTGGTCGCCTTTGACGCATTTTTCGTTTAATGATGCGCCAAATGTTCTCTATAGGTGAAAGATCTGGACTGCAGGCAAGGCCAATTCAGAACCCGGACTCTTCTACGACGAAGCCATGCTGTTGTAATATCTGCAGTATGTGGTTTTGCATTGTCCTGCTGAAATACACAAGGCCTTCCCTGAAATAGACGTTGTCTGGAGGGGAGCATATGTTGCTCTAAAACCTTTATATAGCTTTCAGCATTCATAGTGCCTCCCAAAACATGCAAGCTGCCCATACCGTATGCACTTATGCACCCCCATACCATCAGAGATGCTGGCTTTTGAACTGAACGCTGATAACACGATGGAAGGTCTCCCTCTTCTTTTGTCCGGAGGACACGGCGTCCGTGATTTCCAACAAAAATGTCAAATTTGGACTCGTTTGACCATAGAATACTTTTCCACTTTGAAATAGTCCATTTTAAATGAGCCTTGGCCCACAGGACACGACGGCGCTTCTGGACCATGTTCACATATGGCTTCCTTTTTGCATGATAGAGCTTTAGTTGGCATCTGGAGATGGCACGGCGGATTGTGTTTACCGACAGTGGTTTCTGGAAGTATTCCTGGGCCTATTTAGTAATATCATTCACACAATCATGCCGATGAGTGATGCAGTGTAGTCTGAGGGCCTGAAGACCACGGGCATCCAATAAAGGTCTTCGCCTTTGTCCCTTACGCACAGAGATTTCTCCAGTTTCTCTGAATCTTTTGATGATGTTGTGCACTGTAGATGATGAGATTTGCAAAGCCTTTGCAATTTGATGTTGAGGAACACTGTTTTTAAAGTGTTCCACAATCTTTTTACGCACTCTTTCACAGATTGGAGAGCCTCTGCCCATCTTTACTTCTGAGAGACTCTACCTCTCTAAGACATCCCTTTAATCATGTTACAGACCTGATATCAACTTAATTAGTTGCTATAGATGTTCTCCCACCTGAATCCTTTCTAAATTTCTTGCTTTTTCAACCATTTGTTGTCCCCGTCCCAACTATTTTGAGACCTGTAGCAGGCATCAAATTTGAAATGAGCTCATTTAGTGGACTAAAGTGTAAAATTTCTCCATTTAAACATTTGTTATATTATATATGTTCTATTGTGAATAAAATATTTGCTCATGTGATTTGAAAGTCGTATAGTTTTCATTTTATTCAAATTTAAAAAACGTCCCAACTTTTCTGGAATTCGGGTTGTATATTATTCTTGGAAGATCAATGTGCGATTGTTCACCAACTCTACTCTCTACACTAACTAACAATTCTTAATGTGCATGTGCTATCATCAGCGTTTATCACAGGATCGCGTTTAAAGTCTGTTTAGAGAGAACAGTGTCGTCCCCTAATTTAATAACAATTATCATTTCGACAGAAATTAATCAATCAAAACTAAGTTTAGCTGGAAAATAACATTATTCACGAGCCGCAATAAAGCCAAAACAATCTCTGTTACATTAAATTATATGCGTATCTATGTAAAGCTGCTTTGAAACAATCTAAATTGTTAAAAGCTAAATATAAATGAAGATGACTTGACTTGACTAGTGCGCGTTACAGCATCCACTACGTATTGGACCATCCAGCTACGTCATTGTGCTACAGGCTGCAGCGAGGGGTGTCTCACATTTTACACATTTCATTGGCTCTGTACACACTGTAAAGTTTCAGGAGTGACAACCGCATTTAAATACAGTAGCGAATACCCTAAAAATGATAGTTTTGTGTGTGTATGGAACATCACTAATTTACGAAATAGTGATGATTGACACATTGGTAACCATAGTAATGGTCTGGCGTCTTGTGCATTTGATATTCAGAATTTTTGACTAAAGTAATATTTCAGTGACCACAGACTGCTAGGTTAGGCTGCTTGTTTGGGCTTGCCTCATAAAGCCATCCAGTTTATGGAGTTAATAAAAGGGACAACAGCATGTCTCAATACAGTAGAAAACATTTGGATTTATTCACGTTTATTATGTGCTTGTTTTTGTTTAGCGGATTTTTCTTTCAAGATCTGACAACATTAATGAGTCAAGGCTCCTTCCTTTTTCCCTGTGATACTGATCTTTGGTTCCGTACACGCATAAATGCGGTTTTCACTACCTTCATTTTTCAGTTGATAATTCATTTGTACAATTCGGTTGTTTTTCCAATAAATGACTCATCTCTGTATACAGAACAGGACTAAACAATGAATGTTGAATTGACAATTTAGCTGCTGTGTGTACATGGTCGCTAATAACTAACTCTGAACATTACCTATTCCTCACTTCGTACCCACCTCTTCATTCAGGTGGGTCGCACTCTATCGCGTGTGCAGCAGGCCTTGAGTTGGTCCTATGGGGAGGAGGTGAAACCATTCAAGCCTCCCTTAAATGATGCTGAATTCCACTGTTACCTGAACAGCCAAGGTCAACTGACCCGGCCAGAAGAACTTAGACTTCGTATATATCATGGTGGTGTTGAGCCATCCTTACGCAAGGTAACCGAACTCTTTCACATATTTAACTAATCGATCATGGGATCATTGTGAGATACAGTGATCTAAACCTTTAGCTTGACAAACATTGACAAAAAAACTTTTGCTAGCTTTGAATACAAATTAATGTTAATGAAGCTAATGAAGCCATTTTTTAAATTATTTTAATGTATTTATTTAAAAGCTCCATAATGTCTATTCAGAGCTAGAAATATATTAAATATAATAATACATGCATATGAGAATTGTTAAGACCCTGGTCTAGGGTCAGTGAGGTACACTTAAATAAAATGTTCTGAAAACCAGTTTCAACCATTTCTTTTAGTTTCATCAAAAACAAAAATGAAGTAAAGTCTTCAGGGTTGGGAAAGTCCAAAAAAATAAACAAAATAGGCACTGACCAAACCTAATTACAACTAAATAAACCCTGTAAAATAAATTAAATAAAATACTGGTCTTACTCAACTCCCTGGCTATCCAATGGCACCCTACCGCTTCAGTATTAAAGGAAAAAATATGTATGTACAATATTTACAGCAAAAGTGGAACACACCTGCCACAATAACTAAACGAAATGAACACTTCAACACATGTAAACGATAAGGACAAAAGTAAAAAATAAGGACACTTTACAGAAGTAGCAAGCGAAAGAATAAACACAATTTACAGCACATGAATCACAAGCAAACTACATCACTGCAACACTCTCTCAGAACAACATGCCAATAACATCATCTCTTCCATGTCAGCATATGGCACACTCTAGTCCACCAATGCAGTGGATACTCGGGACACTCACAGAAACATCCCCACACACAGGGAAAGAAAAAAAAACAGCAATACGTCTTCAGACTTAACAGTATAAACATCTTGAGGGCAACTTCTGCCCTGACAGACAACTCATGTCAATTAAGTTCCATAGCAGTCTTCTTTGCATTTTAGCTGACTTGTCCATCGCTGTATTTTTGTGACAGGTTGTTTGGCGATACCTCCTTAATGTGTATCCAGATGGTCTGACAGGGCAGGAGAGAATGGATTACATGAAGAGAAAGACGAGAGAGTATGACCAGCTGAAGAGTGAATGGACGGCACGGGTCAGCTCAGAGGATCTGGAGTTCATTCGGGGAAGTGTTCTGAAAGATGTTCTTCGAACGGACCGAGCACATCCTTACTATGCGGGCTCAGAGGACAGCCCACATCTCACCGCCTTGACCGACCTCCTTACCACCTTTGCTATTACACACCCACAGGTAAGCATATGTGTCAACCATATGTTTGACGCTAGGGTATGCCTTTCAGGGCTCTACAGTGCGACCATTTTCTCGCTTATGCCCCTAAAAAATTGATATGTGCGAATGGGAAAAATGATTTACGAGCACAATGTGCGAGTAACTACAACCTACCATAATTGAAAATGAGATGATAAATAAAAACTAGTTTGGAATGACAAAAACTATGATGAAAATCTATTGACATTTTCGTCAACCTATAAAAACTAGACAAAAATGTTAGATACTGACGATTTGGGAAGTGATCCAGTCAGAATTTGTGTCCTACGTTTGTGGTAGATGCACACATTTATACTGTAACATGCTGATCTACCCAGTGGCACACGGGTTGACATGCGCTGCATCTTATAAAACTTTAAAAAATGAAAATGTCTGGAAGAATTAGTAGAGCAGAGTAGACATATAGATCTGAATAGAGTGATGACGCAAAAAAAGAGCTGTATTCGGTTTTCTGTGCGTACACACCCGACCCGAACCATGCAGCCATGCACATAGACACACAGTGCACGAGGACTGAACTGAGCTCTCTTTCGTGTGTAAATGGACAAATACACAAACTCTGTTCTTTGAAAAAAAAATTTTTTTGTGTCATCTTGCATTTTTTCATTTAGGAGCACATGTGCTCCTTGGGAAAAACCTTAGCGTAGAACCCTGCCTTTACTTCTCTGGAATATGAACTTTCCTCATTTGTTTTCGCAGGTGTCTTATTGCCAAGGCATGAGCGACATTGCGTCGCCAATCCTCGCCGTCATGGACAACGAAGCTCACGCCTTTATCTGCTTTTGTGGCATTATGAAACGTCTTGAAGGCAATTTCCGCCCTGATGGACAACTCATGTCCATTAAGTTCCAGCATCTCAAATTGCTTCTGCAGTATTCAGACCCTGAGTTTTATGCCTACCTTGTCTCGAAAGGTGCTGACGATCTGTTTTTTTGTTACCGCTGGCTGCTTTTGGAGCTGAAACGTGAATTTGCTTTTGATGATGCCCTGCGAATGCTCGAGGTCACCTGGAGCTCCTTGCCACCTGATCCACCTGAGACAGAGGTGGAGCTTCTGGGGCCGGCGCTTGAGGCAGATCAGCCCAATGGCTCACAGAATGTCCATCAGAATATGGACATGGAGGAGATGAAAGAAAAGCTGACTGAAAGGCAGAGGAGACGTCACATGCTAAGACCGTCTCGAGAGGAGGCAGATGGAGGACGTTCCCTTGGCATAGAAGAGGAGAAGGGTCCTCGGAAGGAAGGCGAAGGAGACTACGGTGTAGATGAGATGGTCAATAATGATGTCACAGCCCCGACTCGGTCATTTGAAAAACAGGCCAGTTTTGGGGAATTCAAGTATTATAGTGGCCGCAACGAGGACAGCTTTGAAATGAATGAGAACGAATGCTCCAATCCCACGTTATCTCCCGTAAAGTTTCAGTCTGCGCACTCTACGTTGCAATTTTCAGTCCGCCAGTCCACAGAGGAAAGTGAGGACGACCCTGGAGAAAAGGAACCTCTTATCGGTAATCATACGCCATCATCTCCAGGACAGAGAGACTCTCCCAATGGTCAGGCAGCTTCCCCAGCATCATCTCTACCTTCCTGTCCACCAGACTGGAAAAGTAGCTCCAATCAGTCACTGGAAGCATCTAATTCTGCTACCAGTTGGAGAACGGCATCTCCTGATGCCCTGTCAAAATGCACATCCTCTTCCTCTAGTGGGGAGAAAGCCGAGTCTCCTGATAAACCTTCTGGGGGGTTCACATCCTCACAAGCTGTAATAAACGGAACTGGGTCTCACTCCCCATCAGTGGCCGCAGTGAAATCTTTACTGGCGTCTCCATCGCAGGGTTACAATCGTTCACTTCTCTCTTCGCCAATTTTATCTTTCAGCAAGTCCCCGTCTTTGCCCAAAGCATTCTCCAGCAATCTCCCCTCGCCATGCAGACCCTCTGGGTCTGGCTTATCCTCTCCAAACACAACCAAACCAGAAGGAGGCGGAATTAAACCCTGCTCGCTTCCCCCTCCGCAAGAGTTTGGGAAAGGGAATCCCTTCATGCTTTTCCTTTGCCTTTCTATCCTGCTAGAACACCGTGACCACATTGTCAAAAACAGCCTAGATTACAATGAGCTGGCCATGCACTTTGACCGCCTGGTCCGTCGCCACAACCTCGGGCGTATTCTGCAGCGCGCTAAAGCCCTCTTCGCAGACTACCTGCAGAGTGAAGTATGGGACTCGGAGGAAGGGGATGAAGTCAGCTTGGACTCTCCAGCCACAGCAGATACATCCCCCCAAACACCCACCTCTAGGCCCCCTTTCCTCAATGTACAGCCCTCTCAGGGTACCTTCCCAAATTCAACCTATAATCTAGCCAATACCATTCCCTCTCCAACAACTCCCATTGCCCTCTCTCCATCTGCTTCTTGATTCTGTGCATTAGTAGATCGTCTCCTGGAACCACAAACAGACCCAGAAGCAAGTTTTTCTGTACCATGCCGAGTCACATTTTACCTTTGTGCTCTACATGCGCTTTATGAAAATTGATTTGTTTTGTTCACAATCAAAGCTTTGTGATTTTCTCTTTTAATTTGTTTGCCTTATCCAACCTCCCAAGTGAAGCCCCTTTCATTGTACAGGATCTTTTTTATTGCACTTTATTGATTGTCCTTTCAAAGGGCAGGCCAGTTTGTCTCTCATTTCACTTTGTAAATAACACTTTTAAAAGGCACATTATGGGCACGTAAAACCTCTGTTATAGTAGCCTCACTTACCTGAGACAAAGCAACAAGATTTTACTATTATTTATTTCTCTGTGCAATCATTATTTTGGACGAATAGGGTTGAAGCAGCTTCTTCTAAGGTTATTCTGGCCTTGTTGTTGTAAGGAGGAGAATGTTTACTCAAGTTAAGCTTTTGAGATGCCCTCGGAAATTCATTATTGAATTTGTTTGACATTGCCTGCAGCAAAGGTGTGTTTGGTATGCTGATAGTTGTCAGTTGTGCTTTATGAGAACCTTAAGCCTTTGACTTTAATTGTACAAAACATTTGAGCAGAGACGAAGGTGCTGATGCATTATCCAGTATCCCACCAATGTGAAACCTTCAGTTGTAGAGTAGGTAACATTCAGCCCCAATCTTGAATTAATCTCTGAACTACTAATACAGATTTCCTCTTCTCTAATGTACAACAGCTATTTGACCAGTAAGCTGTAGTTCTACATGCATTGGCTGTTTCGTTGAGGCACCACACCTACTAAGATCAACATAGAGAATGGCTGGTAATTTGGTGTCACTTATCCTCGCCTTTGTTGGAGAAGTGCCTCATTTCACTGAATTTGCCATTTTTGTCTCTCTCGTTTCTGTGTGTAAATATAATTTCATTGCTTTCATCCATCTTCCACCAAAGGTTTGTCTGGAAATTCGTTGCCATAATGACTTTATCGTCAAGTGGCAACAATCAAGCATCCCTGCTGTTTAAAAAAATCACAGAGTATTACAAAAGTGTTTAATGCCTTTAACACAATGCTTTTCATCTGATACCTTGTAGACTCATTCTTTATGTCTTAATACCAAGTGTTCTTTTAAGTGCTAAACTAAACCTGCACATGGACTAAAAAAGGATTTTCCTGGAAAGTAGAACAGTTATGAGTCCTGTTCATCAGCGTTATGTATACAAAATGTATGTATGTTTCTCTGATTTTGATTTAGTTCTATATGATAGTATTTTACTCATACCCGTGGAGAGACTTGCCAGACTGAATGCTTGCAATACTCCTATTTGTACAATAAATTCACTGAATATTGATTGACCAATGATCATTCTTTCATAAAGCAAACAACATTTAAACCATAACACATAGAAAGAATAAACACTATCCCTGACTGGAAATGTAATCTTAATTTTGGAACATGGTAGGTGGTTTCTAGCAGGTCCAAGCTGGTAGATCGTCTTGAGCCATGAACATGGTAAACCAGCTAATGACTAGCTACCATGTTCCACAAAACAGCAGTGTAAAGGGATAGTTTAAATTTTGTCATCATTTACCCACCCTCAAGTTGTTCCAAACTTGTATGAGTTTGGCTTCTATAGTATTTTATTTCCTAATATGGAAGTCAATTGGGGTACATCAACTGTCTGATTACCAACATTTTTTCATCTTTTGTGTTTAGCAGAAGAAATATACTCGTACAGGTTTGAAACAACTTGAGGGTGATTAAATGATAACAAATAAGTTTAGCTGAAACAAATAAGTTTAGCATAAAAATATACTAAAAGTACTAAAAAGGGGGTTCTTGACGTTGATTGGCCAATTCTTGGTAAGTTACTAAATTGAATCGTGCATCGTGGTAACGATACGATCCGTGATTGGCCATAGCATACGAATCTTGGTTGCAGCCGGGAATGTGATTGGCTGGCATAACCACATTATTATACCATTGTTATGCCACTATTTTCCCCTCTTTGAAACCCTCTGCTCCATTACAAATGTCATACATTCAAAATGTTAGCCTATTTAGGTAAAACAAATAAGTTTAGCATCAAAATATACTAAAAGTACTAAAAAGGGGGTTCTTGACGTTGATTGGTCAATTCTTGGTGAGTTACTAAATTGAATCATGGTAACGATACGAGCCGTGATTGGCCATGACATACGAATCTTGGTTACAGCCGGGAATAGATTGGCTGGCATAACCACGATTAAGGAGACGGATTCTTAGCACTACTGGTAACGTTAGAGACTCTGCCAGCTTCAAAGCAATATAAACATCATCGGGTGTCGTGTATGGATCACACGTTCCAAGTATGTTCATCTTTTTTTCATATCTAATTTTAACATTCGGTGACATATGGTCTAAATTGTATTGAAAATTTGCAAGGCTGCAGCTCTCCTGGCTGGGCACTAGTGTTTACTCTCCTTTCCATAGTACTTGCATTTTAGATTCGTATTGGTATAAAGACAGTTCAAACAAATTTGGGGAAAAGTATTTTAGAAACAAACCGCCTACCCTGTCTTACACACATTTTTCCTGCGATTCTTTTAAAACTAACGTTACATATAACTCGTGGGCGTGGCTATACAACAAAATATTTAATTTCGGATCAAAATGCCGAAACCCGGGATCGAACCAGGGACCTTTAGATCTTCAGTCTAACGCTCTCCCAACTGAGCTATTTCGGCGGATATTCTTATTGTTTTTGTGAATTGTTCCTGTATAAACTACCAGCAGGGAACTACTCCGTTTTATTTTATATCTGTATGTGGTTGTATACAAAACGATGTTCCACTAGACTAACGTTAGAGAGTATAACTCTCTGTGACTGACTGACCTGCCATACATTTAAATTAAACGACAATCTACCCAATTATTTTAAAGGGATCGTCCGCCCAAGACAACTGTCGTGTCATTTAACGTTGACACACTTTTATGCTTTCTGGAAACCTCTATAATGACTTGGTTTAAAGTAACCATACCCTCAATCTTTGGTCGCTGTTGCTCATTTCAAAGGCTGCTGCGCCCTCCAGTGTTCGCATTTGTCGGCCGTATACGACATCGAGAATGTTATATACATTTTACAAATTATTGTAATTAAAATTGCTATTTATTATTATTATTATTATTATTATTTGTAATTTCTTTCTTTGAGATGTAATGGTTCCTTTTCTGAAGCAGTCTCGATAATGTTTACTGTGGACAAATACGACCACAGGAGGGCGCTGCCTTCGAAATGAGACACAGATTAGTCATACTACTTAAAGTCACGTGATTTCTTTCCAGATAACGGGCCAGTGGCGCAATGGATAACGCGTCTGACTACGGATCAGAAGATTCTAGGTTCGACTCCTGGCTGGCTCGCATCTTTTCTTCATCCTATTGATACTTTGTAAGCATAACATCACGCATTTCCTCACATACTGTGCCGCCTGTAAATCGTGGTTATTCTTGGTTATGACAGCCAATCACGTTCCCAGCCGCAACCGAGATTCGTACTATTCTTGGTTATGACAGCCAATCAACGTTCCCATCTGCAACCAAGATTCGCACGCATATGGCCAATCGCGGCTCTTATCGCTACCATGATTCAACTTAGTAACCAAGAATTGACCAATAGCTAAACGTCAAGAGTCACCTCCCCCCTGGGACTTGCGAATTGGGACCTGGAGAAGAGGATGACATTCATTGATTAATTAACTTCGGATCAAAATTCGCAAAGTAAGCCAGTCTTTTGTCAATAAAAGTGCCAAATATATAGTTGTTTTATATGAATAACCTGTGTCTCAGACTAACTAATAATTCAAGTAATTGAATTATGGTATAATAATAGTATAATAATTATTGAAAAAATGACCTCTTACTCTGGGATCATTCTGAGATTCTGATGGGTAAATCAACATTTTAAGCCTCTTAGAAAAAATATAGACACACAAAGCATAATATATAATCAACATTACAAGGTGATCATGAGTAAATATAGTAATGTAATGCATTATGCATATATGCATGGCTGTATTAACTAATGTGTTACCAAATGTATCGGTCTGTTTCTTTATCTATAGTCTTGAATGTTTTGCTTGTTGAATGTTTTGAACAGTTGAATGTTTGACTTTTCATGTATTTCCAGTGGACCAGTTATCAGCAGAAACTTCTCTTGTGACATCTGAAGAGAACACTTCACATGATGGGCCCAGTGTACATTTACGTCTGTAAACAAAATCTTAGTTATGTTTGCTGTGCTTTCATGTGAATATTCGTATTCATTGCTGCTATCAAAAGTTCCTAAATTATCTATTACTTTAGGATTCTGTTGGACCAGATAATATTGGGGGGTATGGAGCCGTGCAGGACTTGGCTGAGTTTTTGGTTAGCCTCAGAGACCACCGTCTGGCCTTGACTGGAGAAGAGTGTGCCAAGATCATCACCCTATGGCAGGCATTGGTGGAGTATGACAAGAGGAAGACAATTTATCCACCACGTCACCAAACCTCCTTAAAAAACAGGGACGATTCAGAGCCACAAAGAAGATTGTGGCACCAGGTGTGGAGAGCACCAAAAGGTATGTTAAATTTAGCAAACACAGGTTCTTGATTGTCTTAAAAATTTTGTATAAAACAAAACCACAAAACATAACTATGCACAGATATTAAAAATGAACATCTAGACAACACAAAGCAAAACAAACAGATTAGAAAAGGGGAAAAAAAACAAGAAAAATAACAGAGTAAGGATCACACATTGAAACGAATATGTATTCTGCTGTAATTTGCAGGTGTTTCGTTGGGGCTCATAGTCCTGCACAGTGGCCTAGCTGCAACCGAGTGGTGGAGGCCATCTTCACAAGGCTCTGTGCCCTCTATCCAAACGTGGTGCGTTGTGATGGAGTGAGGGTGGTGCGTGCTTACAAGCACATCCGAGAGTGCATCCTCACTAATGCTAAGGTGATGAGCGAGACCACCATCCAGCTCCGGGAAGTAAACAGTGCAACAGTGACACAATGGTGAGTAAATTAGCATTGTTCTAAGCATAAATTGATCAGCAAATCAGTTTTTTTCACTTCTCTCTGCACCTGCACCTCTCACTGCACCTCTCAAACGAGAAAACAAACGAACAGCTACTGTACCAACAGCATTTCATACACGAGACAAGGGTGTGATCAATTGCTTTGTGATCTTAGCTGTGTCTTGCTGTTACATCATAGTCATGATCAAACAGTAGTTGAACATACCATCTTTTGTATAATTGCTTAGATGTTTATTATAATTGGTTGCTTTATTTTGTTTGTATATTTTAGTTATTTTATTAAGTTAACTTAAGCCTTGAGTAATTTATGTACCTGATTATCATTAACATCATTATTACTATTAAATAATAATAATAGATGAGAAGCATTTAAATTATTTATTTACCTGATTATCATTATTACTATTAAACAATAATAATAGATGAGAAGCATTTAAGTTATTTATTTACCTGATTATCATTAATATCATTATTACTACTATTAAATAATAATAATAGATGAGAAGCATTTATTTTAGTTTATTTATGTTTAGTTATGCCTTAAGTTATTTATGTAGCAGATTGTTATTACTACTATTATTATTAATATTACCTGTTTTAATAATTGTTGTGATTATATAAAAAAAATATAATGGGTTTGGATGTTTTTTTTTTCTTCATCTTCTTCCTCTTATCATTAATATATTTATTGTTTACTGTATTATTATATACAAATGTTAATTTCTACACATGACAGAATTATCTAGACTTAAATGTTTATCCTAATAATTAACATTAGTCGTAAAAGTTTGGACGAGGGGGATTCGATCCTGCGATCTTTGGGTCAATTTCGCTCAAGTCGTGATAGCGTTGATAGACGGATGCGCGCCGTCCTTCACATAATGGTTAACGCGTCTGACTACGGATCAGAAGATTCTAGGTTCGACACCTGGCTGGCTCGCATCTTTTCTTCATCCTATTGATACTTTGTAAGCATAACATCACGCATTTCCTCACATTTTGCAGTACTTTAATATTTTATTGGGGCAGCAAAGAATGAGTTTACAGAAGTGTGCATTAATCAGCAATCAATCATTTTATCACATACACTATTGGAGCAGTTTTACTCTGGTTGTGGTTGTTTTCTATACAATGAACACAAATATGAACACAAAAATAATGAAGTTTTGATGAAGTTCACTAACAATCTTCATTACATTTCACATTTTTTTAAACCAGCTACACTATGTTGCATTACTTTAATACTTTATTGTGGCAGCAAAGCCGAGCTAACAGAAGTGTGCATTA